ACCAGTCGCAATGCTGCGAGCGCTTGCGCCATTTCTTCGGCTGACGCCAAGGCTGGCGCAGCTGGGCCCGCCAATGAACGCTGCTGCATCCCCCTATCCGCTCGACCACAGAACAACAGAAAAACCTTGACGATGGCAATGTCCAGCTGGCCCAGAGCAGGCCAAACCTCCTGCGCCTCGAAAGCGTCCAACGAGCCAAAATCACTGAAGGAAGTCGCGCCGTCGCGCTGCAGACTTGCTGCGATGCCGTCCGCGTCGTGGACGTCCTGCTTCGCGGCGCCACCGGCCCTCTGAAGCACGCTCGCCAATTCACCGCGCCAGCGATCCCCAGGATGGCCAGGACGTGGAAGGGAAGCGACAGGCGGCAGTGCTGGCTCGCTGGCCTCAGGAAGCCCGTCTCGTAAGCGCTGCCATCGCGCCCGCTCTGCGTTGGCAAAACTCAACGCCGCGCGCCGGCCTGCAACCCGCAATCTGTTTGAGCCGAAGGCTACGGAAGACAAAGCAGAAGTGCCAGGCAGAAGCCGCGCGTGGGAAACTGAGCGCGCCTGCGCTGCGCACATTTTTCTTCCGCGGACGCCCGGCCATTGCCGCCTTAGCTGTCCCAGGGGAGCGCTGGCCAACGCCAAGCCGTCTCCCGGAAAGACAAGCTGTCTAGGTCAGCGCGGCTCTGCTCTGCTTTACTTGCGCGAGTAGGACCATCTGCCAGATTCAACGCAGAAGGGACATAATGAGCGTGCATAAGCACACATGCTGCAGCTAGATCGAACCAAATGGTGCCCGAAACTGTGTTGAGATCGGGCTGCCGGGAACTGCCACGCAAAAGTGCGCTCAACGCCGCTGTGTTGTCGATAAACACAATGAGCTCTGGTGACTCGACTCCTTGCTCCAAGAAAAGCCGCACGCCGCACAATGCTGCCACTAATTCCCAGAGGGTAGACGGAATCTTTGCTGCCGCCCAGGCACGCTTTGACGAAATTTGAAGCGCTACAGCCAAGTTCCCTCCGCCAGTGGCGTCAGTGTACAGGATGCACCTCTGGAGCGGAGGTTGGCTGAACCGCACGAAAACGGAAGGGTCAGAGCTTAAAAACCGCTCCCACCACTGCAGAGCATTGCGCGCGCGAGCTGCCAGCGCACGTTTCCGTTGGCTGCTCTGCCAGAAGAGCGGTGCCAGAAAAACTCTCGCTCCGCGGCCAAAAACAGCTGTGGCCCCCCAGCTAAGGCGACTAGCAAGTTTAGCAGCCTCTGCTGGCGCCAACGCGTCACTACGCAAAGCATCGCGAATTTGCTGGAGCCACTTATTTTTCTTCTCGCACCCAATCCAAAACCAAATGCCCTCCAGGCAGGCCTTCGCTTCTACGCCTAACACGGTCATTTGCGTCGCCTCAGCAACTGCTTTGGATTCATCTAGCAGCCAGCCAAGCAAGTCCACGATCACTGTGCGCGCAAGCCCCGCCGACCCTCGCGGACCCACCAAAGATCCGGGATCCGCGGTGCTCGCGCACGCGTCTGCGCCGAACAAATCGTCGACGAAACGCGGATGAGCAAGCAGAAATATACGGGCCAAAATTGCTTGCACCGCGCTACCGAATCGACGCCGCGCAAAGACAGAAGCCGCCGCGCCAAAAGGACAAGAGAGCAACTGTAATCCCTTGTCCTGCTGCGCAGCACTATTCCACGTGGCAACTGAAAACCGGAGATGGTTCTCCTGCACAGGAAGCGTCTTGAACGCACTGTTAAAATCATCCTTGCGGAAGAGCAGAGGCGAACCCCGCTCTGCAGTGTCACCCCGCACGCTCTCGTCGCCCCGCTCTAAAGAGCGAGCCATGGCGCGACGCTGCATCACGTCATACTGATAGCACACTCGGACGCCGCCGTGTCTCTCTGCAATGTGGGAGAGGTTGAAAATGTACGCGAGCAAATCTGTCTGAGTGCACACTTCCATGAGCACGCACTTGATGCCCCATTGGAATATGTGACCGACAAAGGTAGCGAAGCCCACGTAATCCAACTTAAGTTCGTTTTCTCTGGCTTTCTTTTCGTCCAACACTGCCTTCAATTTATTTTCAAGAGAGCCGATTGTCGGGGCGACCTGCACCACTGGCATGCGCGACCACTCGGGCCTGTGGTGCGTTTGGAGGCATTCCCCGTCTGCGCTGCCAACGCACCGCGGGCCTTTGGAAGCGGCGATTTTCCTGCCTGCTCAAACTTCGCAAGATTCTTTTCGGAGGGCAAGCCATCTTGCGGAAAGTTCTCGAGGCCCACCTCGGCCATGCGTTTGGCCAGGTCAAAGGAAAGACCGACCTTCGCAGGCGGCGTGACAGCAGCTGTTTGCGCATTGACAAACTTTTCCGTCGCCTGCTCTAAGCCAGAGGACGTGCCAGAGGCAGCTGGCTGCTCCTTCATGTCTTTGGCCTGACAACGCTTCTGCACACGAAGTGCCAAAGCCATCATGGCAGGTGTGAGCGTGGACTCTTTCCAGCCTTCCTCTGAAAAGGGTTTGTCCCCAACCGTAAACCCGGCGCGCAGACTGTCACGGACGAACTCGTCTGCGAAATCCTCTGTGTGCACGGATTGAACCACCTCCGCCATGGCACGCGCAACACCAGTGTAGAACCGGATGTCGTGTTTTGCCCGGGCGTTCTCGTCCGCGCACGCCACGAACTCCACGAACGCGTTCCGCGAGTCCACGGACGCACCAGCGAAAGCACTTTCGGGCAATGTGGCCAGATCTGCCACGATGTTTGCAGGAGTGTACGCCATGCTGCTCTGTGGAAGAGGCAAAGAACCGTACAGACAGCCAACTGGACAGCGCACCGTTGCAACACTCTAGCCTCAAAGGCAACAGAGACGCAAGGCAGCCGCGCAGCCAGTGACCGGCGCTGAGGCGATGTGCCTGCTGTTTCAGGGAAATGAACAGAAGACCCTCCCGCCTCTTATCCCCCTCTGCGGCCTGACTGCACCACCCAGGCCAGCAGACGGCGTCATAGGCGGCCGGGCCGACACAGACTGCCCATCGGAGCGTGCGATGCAAGAAAGCAGCCAATGACATGATAGATGGAGCGCCCCATTTATGCGATAGTGTCCATTCGGACGATCTGCGAGAGGGCTCGCGCACGTCCCTCGCTACATGGCGCTGCTGGCCGACCCCGCGCTAACTCGGCAGCCTGTTCAGTCTGCCGACCTGAATCTCCTGCTGGGCCGATAAACTTCCGAAATCCGATGGGGCTAATTCCCATGTGAAATCCTTCCAGTTGCAGCCCCAGCTGCCGAATTTTTAGCAGCCACACCAAATTTAATTCTGAGTTCGCTGGTGAAAGAGCGTCAGCATGGACATTCCGACTGCGCGCCGTTTGGGACGCCGCGCAATGCTGCCACTAATTCCCAGAGGGTCACCTGCGTGCGCCTGGACCGAGCCCAAGCCCAAGCTCTGGACGGAATCTTTGCGCCCAGACACGCTTTGCGGAGTTTGAAGCACTACAGCCAAGTTCCGCCAGCGGCGTCAGTGTACAGGATGCACCTCTGGAGCGGAGGTTGGCTGAACCGCGCGAAAACGGAAGGGTCACTGCAGAGCATTGCGCACGCGAGCTGCCAGCGTACGTTTCCGCTGGCTGCTCTGCCAGAAGAGCGGTGCCAGAAAAACTCTCGCCCCGCGGCCAAAATCAGCTGTGCCCCCCCCAGCTAAGGCGACCAGCAAGTTTAGCAGCCTCTGCTGGCGCCAACGCGTCACTACGCAAGCATCGCAAATTTGCTGGAGCCATTTATTTTTCGGTTCAAAACTGTCTACAGAAACTTTTGGTCGTTTAGACTGGTCCACCCCTCCACAGAGGAGTGCCACCTCTAAAGGTTTTTGCCCGCGTCTAAAGCGCCACAGTGGCCCTGTCTAAAGGAGTTGGCTGGGGATTATTGCGGCACTCTACGAGCACTCCCAAGAGGATTCTGCCAGAATTCTGACAGGATTCTGAGAGGATTCTGAAAGTAGTCTGAGAGGATTCTGAGAGGATTCTGAAAGTATTCTGAGAGGATTCTGAGAGGATTCTGACAGCTTTCTGAGAGGATTCTGAAAGCATTCTGAGACGGATTTGAAAGCATTCTGAGAGGATTCTGAAAGCATTCTGAGAGGGATTTGAAAGCACTCTGAGAGGATTCTGAAAGCATTCTGACAGGATTCTGAGAGCATTCTGAGAGGATTCTGAGAGCATTCTGCGAGGATTCTGAAGCATTCTGAGAGGATTCTTGAAGCATTCTGAGAGGATGCTGGAAGCATTCTGAAAGGATTCTAAAGCATTCTGAGAGGATTCTGAAAGCATTCTGACAGGGATTTGAAAGCATTCTAAGAGGATTCTGAAAGCATTCTGAGAGGGATTTGAAAGCACTCTGAGAGGGATTTGAAAGCACTCTGAGAGGATTCTGAAAGCACTCTGAAAGCACTCTGAGAGGATTCCGAGGGGATTCTGAGAGGATTCTGAAAGCATTCTGAGTGATACCGAAACGATCCCCAAGCGATTCCGGGCCGATTTTCGCATGACGTAGCCAAAGCACGATGGCTCAACCTCCGAGTTTGACTTCGTGACCTTACTGTGCTTTACCTATACCTTCAGAATTGTTGTTCGCTCACCTTGCGACTCATGAAGGCTATGTGAATGCATTTTTTGGACGAGGTGGCTCCTCGCAGTCGCAATCTGCCCTGGTGCCAGCAGTGCCACAATCGGGGCCAGAGTCACCTGCACGTCGACTCGTTCCACTTGCAGCCGAGCCAGCTCCGCCGGCACAACCGCCGCCAATTCCTTTACATGATGCGCCGCGATCGGTAGGTTTCCACCGATGTTCTAGCATGCAGCTTCCCGAACTTCTGCAACACCTCGACGATCGGAAAGAGGCTGGAATCCGTCAGGACCTTCTTTCTTTCTCAAGCCCGCGCCCAGGCGCCCCGGCGCCCCGCGCCCGCGCCCCGCGCCCCGGCGCGTGCGCCGGCGCGCGGGCCTCGCCCAGAAGCGCCCGCCATGGCGCCCCAGCGGCCCATCCTCACGTGCGTGCTGGCGGCCGCGGTGGTGGCCCTGTGCCGCAGGGGCGCCGGCTTCGTGGGCTCGCCCACGCCCGCCTGCCGGCGCGGCGAGCGCGTGGCCGCGCGCGTGAGCGCGGAGTACCTGGAGCGCTGCGGGCCGAAGGACGCGGATGTGGCGTTCGACGCCTCGGCCGCCATTGGTCCGGGCCCCACCGTCACCTACAAGAAGCGCCCCTTCGGCATCCTGCGCTACCAGCCGGGCAACGGCATGAAGGGCGCGATGGCCATGGAGGTGATGCAGGTGTCCCGGTACCCTGGGGAACCTCAGGGCCAGGCGTTCTCCGCCGGCGTGTCGGGCGGCATGGTGGTGAAGTCCATCGTCGGCGCGGAGGTGTTGACGGAGGACTTCGGCAAGATCATGGACCGGCCCGACGACGAGGTGGCCGACCCGCGCTTCTCGAAGTCCACCGCGCTCGCCCTGGAGAAGTTGGGGAGGAAGGCGGACACCGCTGAAACCGCCCATCGAGGTGGTCTACGCGACCGTGCCGGGCTACGTGCACGCGGGCGCCGAGATGAAGGCGGACGGCCAGGAGCACGAGCTCCGGGCGCACGCCTACGTCCCATCGGCAACTTTTTTGGGGATGCAGCCAGTGATGGGGCGCTGGCTGCCGCGAATGACCATAATGATGACTATGTGTTCCAGTTTTTCTATCCTCCTCCCCCTCCTAAATCTCCCCCCGAATGTACCCTTTTTCCCGCGGCGGGCTGGCCTCCTAGAGTTCAGATTCTCCCCTTTGTCCCTCTTCCCTGTTTCTGCCTTGCTTGCGACTGCGCTTGCTGCTTCGTCGGGGCCGCCCGCTCGTCCTCCCTCGCCCGCAGGTCGACTGGCCCGCCGCTGCTCCTGGCCGGCACCGCGGCTACCGCTGCCGCGACCAGCGACGCCAGCACTTCCACGACGACTGCCACGACCGCGGCTACGACGGCGACGTCCCATCCCACGACCAGGCCCTCCCCCACTTCCACGCAAACTACCACACACTCCACTGCGGCTACGACCAGGGCCACGACCGCTGCCACGACCATGACAACGACCAGCGACGCCTGCACTGCCACGTCGACTACCACGTCCGCGGCTACGACGCTTACGACCCCTCCCGCGACCATGAGTACTCCCACTGCCACGCCAACTACCACGACCTCGACCACAACCACGACCCGGGCCACGACCACTACCGCGACCATGACCACGACCAGCGACGCCTGCACTACCACGCCGGCTACCACAACCGCGGCTACGACGCTCATGATCCATCCCTCGACCATGTCTACTCCCACTGCCACGCTAACTACCACGACCTCCACTACGACCGCGACCAGGGCCACGGCCGCGAGCATTCCTACGGCGACGAGGGACGCGATCGCGGCCACCACCACGGCCACGTCTACCGACGCCAGCAGTACCGCGTCAACTACCACGAGTGCGTCGACGACGGCTACGGCTCCTCCCACGACCACGACCACGCCTGCTCCCACGCCAACTACCACGACCTCCACTACGACCACGACCGGGGCCACGACCGCTACCACGGCGACGTCGACCACCACCGACGACGGCTTCGCCGGCATCGGCTCCGACGGCGGCTTCGGCGCCACCTCCGACGGCGGCCCCCGCGCCGACGACTCCGACACGAGCTCCAGCCGCGACCCCGGGGCTGGTTCCGGCGGAGATGCCGATTGGCTTGGCGTTGCTCACGACGTCTGCGGCGTTGGCTCCGAAAGCAATTCCGACGGCAGCATCGACGAGGCTTTTGACGCCTACCTCGACAGCGGCACCAGCGCCGGCTCCGACAACGACACCGTCGGCGTCTCCGACGCCGGCTCCGACGGCAGCCCCACGGCCGTACAGGTCGACGCTCCCGACGCCAGCTCCGAGGGCGACACCGGCGACATCTTCGGAGGAGACTTTGACGCCAGTTCCGAGGGCGACCCCAGAGCCAGCTCGAGGGGCGACACCAGCGCCTACGCCGGCATGAACGCCAGCGCCGACACCAGCACCAGCGCCAGCATCGACGCCAGCGCCAACGCCCGCGCCTACGCCGACACCAACGCCAGAGCCTACGCCACCGTCGACGACACCACCGACGACAACGCCAACGCCCGCGCCTACGCCGGCATGAACGCCAGCGGCAGCGCCAGCATCGACGCCAGCGCCAACGCTCGCGCCTACGCTGGCACCAACGCCAGAGCCTACGCCACCGTCGAGAACAGCACCGACGACTGCACCAACGCCGGCGCCTACGCGGGCATGAATGCCAGCGCCTACACCAGCACCAGCGCCAGCATCGACGCCAGCGCCAACGCCCGCGCCTACGCCGACACCAACGCCAGAGCCTGCGCCACCGTCGACGACACCACCGACGACAGCACCAACGCCCGCGCCTACGCTGGCATGAATACCAGCGCCTACACCAGCACCAGCGCCAGCATCGACGCCAGCGCCAACGCCCGCGCCTATGCCGGCACAAACGCCAGAGCCTACGCCACCATCGACGACAGCAACGACGACAGCACCAACGCCCGCGCCTACGCTGGCATGAATGCCAGCGCCTACACCAGCACCAGCGCCAGCATCGACGCCAGCGCCAACGCCCGCGCCTATATCAGCACAAACGCCAGAGCCCACGCCACCGTCGACGACAGCACCGACGGCAGCACCAACGCCGGCGCCTACGCCAGCATGAGCGCCAGCGCCTACGCCACCACCAGCGCCAGCATCGACGCCAGCACCAACGCCTGCGCCTACGCCGGCACCAACGCCAGAGCCTACGCCACCATCGACGACAGCACCGACGACAGCACCAACGCCGGCGCCTCGGTCGGCATGAACGCCAGTGCCTACACCAGCACCAGCGCCAGCATCGACGCCAGCGCCAACGCCCGCGCCTACGACAGCACCAACGCCAGAGCCTACGCCACTGCCCACGACAGCACCGGCGCGAGCACGACTACGACGACGAGTCCGAGCACGAACCAGTGCAAACAGCACTACCAGCATCACCACCGGCATAACCAGTGCAATCAGCACGGCCACACACAGACGACCAGCACCAGCGACACGGGCAACCAGCACGACCACCTGTGCAACCAGCATGCCTACGACTGCCACGAGTACGAACACTACAGCGGCATCCACCGCCGATGCGGCGATTCCTACCACCAGCACCGGCTCGGCTCCCACGACTGCGAGGACCAGCTCCTGGGCGCTACACCAGAGCCCCCACGAGGCCACTACACTAGTTCAGCCGAGCTTTACTTTCACCAGCACCTCCGCTCTTGCGCCGCATGCGCGTCGGGAGCGGCATGCACTTCTGCGTGCCCATGTGGATTCCCATTTCCCGACTCTCAATGGCCAGCGCGCTGCCTTTCGCATGGGGCCTCACTCGCTCTCGGTGGGGTGCACAGTATCCTCCAACGAGCCCCCGCGCTCCTCGCAGCTCTCCCAATCGTGGCTCCTTCGATCATGTTATGGGCTGTGACGGGGCAGGTCCTGAGCTCCACGCTCGGGGCGGCGCTTCCCGTCCCCGTGCACCCGGCGTTGCTCCTCGCCTCCGCCTGCGTGTCCCCAGCTTCTCTCGAGGTCGTCGTCTATGGGGCCATGGTGCACGGCGGACCCGCGCAGCGGGGCTTGGCAGCGATCTGTGCGACGGCTCTCGCTCACGACTTCCACGTCCGACGCCCCCTGTGCGAGGCTTTGACGCTGGCTTCCACGGCGGCCCTCAGCCCAGCGTGGTTCTGCCCAACGAGCCCCGCAGCTTGGGCCGGCCAGGTGGTCCTCCTCATTCGGGCGGTCACCACGCCTGCTTTCCCCGCTTCGGATGGCATTTGCGCCACGTGCCAATGGGAGACTAGTCGGTGCACGTGCCGGCGGGGCGGTTCCCGCAGCCCTCAGCGTCCGAGCGCCGCGGCGGCTTCCTCTGCCTCTGCGGGCCCAGCGAGGCAGGAGGTCCACGTGAACAACACGTTTGTCGAGGCGGGGCCAGCGGTTCGCTCCCCTGGGCGACACCTCCGGCGCAACCGGACTGATGGGGATGAGCCGCTCCTGGTCGTGGGACTCGGCGGGTTGAATCTCGACCCTGCCAGGGACATGCATGTGGACGCGGGGATTCCTTTGGAGGAACAGCGCCGGGCCGAGGCTCTCAACCGCCCCCCGGCCAGCGCTCCTGGGGAGGGCGCCCCGCCGCCCGCGGCTCCACAGGCAGCGCCGCCAGCCGGGCAAGAGATACCAGCCCCCCCTCCCCCGGCGCCCGATCCTGCCCACCAGCGCAGGGTTCGTGCCCGCGTCCGGGTGCACTGCCCCGTCCCTGGGTGCCCGCGCGGCGACGCCGCGTCCTCCGCCGGCTGGGGGGACCACCAAAGCATGCGCCCGCACCTGAACGAGCACGCCGCCGGGCGGTTCCCTGGGCTGCCACCAGTCCCGCCCGAGTACCTGCAAGAGCACCGGTTGGAGCAATGCTCGGTCTGCCAACGGTTCTTGTCGACGCGCTTCGGCGGCATCTGCCCGCGTTGCCGCCCTGCCGCGCGCGCGGCCGCAGCCGTGGCAGCCGCCGCTCCCGCCGCTGGCGGCCAACCGCACAGCGAGCCCGCGGGTCTCCCCTCCCTCCGGGAAGCTTTCTCCAAGCGCTCCACCACCAAGCGCTACGTCCCGAAGGGCGCCCGGGACCTCTGGGCACGGTGCTTAGTGCAGACGGTGGCCCAGACCGTGCACAACAACTCCGAGGCTGCGTGGACAGAGCTTGCGATGCTCCCGAAATGCGTCCTGCGCCCTCACACCCGTGGCGGCCGAGGCAGCAGGGCGGCCGGCGAAGCGCAGACCAAGGCGCTGTGCCGGCGCTGGCTGGACGGGGAGCGGGCCTCCCTGTGGGCCGAGGCAGTCGAGGCTCGCGCTGCCAAGCACGCCTCGCCAGCCTCCCAGCGAGCGGAGAGGTGCGTGCAGCTCGCCGCAGACGCCCAGTACTCCAAGAGCTGCTCGGCTCTGACCAGCGAGCCGCCCGTGGAGGTCACCCCCGACGTCGTTGAACAGATGAGCCGGAAGCACCCGCGCAGCCGCCAAGCCGTGGATCCCGCCAGCCTTCCGGCTGTCCACGCGGCTGCTGCCCTGCAGATGGACGGGGACGCGGTCCGTAGGGAGGTGCGGGCCTTCCCCCGGGGCTCGGCCGCCGGGCCAACGGGCCTCCGACCCCAACACCTCAAAGACGCACTGCTCAACGCGGCCCACAGGGACGAGGTCACCGACCAGCTCCGGAGCCTTGTCAACCTCTGCGCCAGGGGGCAGGCCCCGACGACCGTGTCCGAGTACTTCGCGGGCGCCTCTCTCGTGGCCCTGCCGAAGAAGGACGGAGGCCTGCGCCCTGTTGCCGTCGGGGAGGTGCTCCGGCGCCTCGTCGGCAAGTGCCTCTGCCACGAGGTTGCCGACGCCGCGCGCGACCGACTGGCTCCCCTCCAGATCGGCGTCGCGGTCCCTGGCGGCACCGAGGCGGCGGTGCACGTCGCGCGCCAGTGGTGGACCCGCCACCTCGGGGACCGGGGAAAGGTGTTTGTGAAGCTGGACTTGTCTAACGCCTTCAACACCCTGGACAGGCAGGCTCTGCTCCGCGCGGTCCACGAAGAGTTTCCCGGGCTGGCACCCTGGGCCGACTGGTGCTACTCCCGCCCGTCAACTCTCTTCCTGGGCAAACAGACAGTCCGCTCCGAGTGCGGGGTGCAGCAGGGCGACCCCCTGGGGCCCCTACTGTTCTCCCTAGCACTACAGCGCGCCGCCGAGGCCGCCCTTCGCGCGCCGCGCCACGGCGCCGACGGCGCCGTCGACCTGAGTTTCTTCTACTTGGACGACGGCTGCCTCGCGGGCGACGCGCCGGCCGTCGCGCGCCTCCTCCACTTGCTCGTGGCCAGCCTTGCCGCGGTGGGCCTCCAGCTGAGCACCGGCCCGGGCAAGTGTGAGGTGGTCCCCACTGGCGGAGACGCCTCCGACGTGTCTCTGGACGGCTTCCCGCCGGGCTTCCGCCTCCGCACCGATCGCAGCTTCGAGCTGCTCGGCGCGCCAGTGGGAGACGCGGACTTCTGCGCGGAGCACACCAAGCAGCGGGTCGCGAGCGCCACCGACTTGCTGGAAGCTCTGGGGGAGCTCGAAAACGCGCAGGTCGCGCTGCACCTCCTGCGCCAGTGCGCCTCCTTCTGCAAGCTGGGCTACTCCGCGCGCGTGGTGCCGCCCACCGCGCACGCCGCCTCCCTGCTGGCCATGGACGACGCTGTCCGGGCCTGCCTTGAGCAACTGAGCGGCTGCTCGCCCTCCGACGCTTCTTGGCAGCAGGCTCAGCTTAAGCTCAGGAAGGGAGGACTTGGCCTGCGCTCTGCCGCGAAGCACGCCGCCGCCGCCTACATCGCTTCCAGAGCGAAGAGCACCGACCTCTGTCGGCAGCTCTACCCCGGCTACTCCAACAACCCCGACCGCGACGGAGGTAGCCTGGCGGCTGCGGTGCAGGCCCACAACGCAGTCGTGCGGGACGCCGACCGGGTGGTGTTCGACCACGCGCAGCACGGCAACCAGAAGGCCCTCTCCGACGCGGTGGACAGCGCCTCGCTCGACGGACTTCTGGCGGGCTCCACCCTGGCCGGCAAGGCGCACCTCTCTCTGGTGCAAGCCCCAGGCGCGGCCGCGTGGCTCCAGGCGCCGCCCTGCGAGGCCACCGGCACCGCCTTCCCGCACGGCCTCATGCAGGTCGGCCTGCAGAGGCGGCTGCGAGTCCAGCTCCTGCAGGAGGAGTGCTTCTGCCCAGCCTGTGGCGAGGTGATGGACGTTTTCTGCGACCACGCCCTGGTCTGCGCCTGCCGCGGCGACCGGACCAAACGCCACAACGCCCTGCGCAACCAGGCCTTCTTCGACGCCCTGGCCGCCGGCCACGCCGGGGCGGAGTTGGAGCGCCCGGGGCTGCTACCCGCGCGCCCCGCCGGGGAGGCCACCCCCGGGGGCGAGCAGGGCGGGTCCCAGGTGGACGACAACGGCCGCCGCCCTGCCGACGTCTACCTGCCGCGGTGGCGCAACGGCACGGCGGCCGCCTGGGACTTTGCCGCCACGTCAGGGTTGCGCGCCGATCTCCTCGCCGCGTCGGCCGCTTCGTCAAGCGCAGCGACGGAGCGGTACGAGGAGTTCAAAAGGCAGCACCAGGACACCGCGCGGCTCTGCGCGGCACAGGGCTTCACTTTCCTCCCCATGGTGGTGGAAGCCCACGGCGGCGGGTGGGGCCGCGAGGCACGCAGGGCCTTCGGGGTCCTGGCCAAGCGGGTGGCTGACGCCACGGGGGAAGACGCCGCACTGGTTGCGGACCAACATGCCCAGCGACTTTCCGTCTCCCTGCACAGGGAGAACGCGCGGGCGGTGTTGCGGCGCCTTCAGACCCTGTCTGGAGGGGCGGGGGTGGCAGCGGCCCGCCTGGCCGCGGCCACGGCGGCCTCCACGGCAGACGCCGTGTGAGGTGCCCCCTGCGCTGCCTAGCGCACCCCGCCCCCCCCCCCCGCCCTTGCTGGGCAGCGCGGGCGCCCCCCTCGCCCTTTCGCCAACGTCGCGCCGGCGACCCCTCCCACGCGCCGCCCGGCCTTTCCCCGGCGGGGCGGTGGATGGATCCCGCAGAGGGCAATCCCCACCAAGCCGCATCGCGCTGGGTTCGGGCGGCCACCCCGCCCAGGTCGCCGCCGTAGGGTCCGCAGCCTCGTCGCGGGCGGCTCTTCTCTCCCGGCCCCTGGCCCGGCCTGTCTGCTTGCGGCCGCTGCTTTCTCTCCTCCTTGTCCTCCTCCCCCTCCTCCCCCTCCCTTCGCTTCTGCTCGTTGCTTCCCTCCCTTTCCTTTCCTCCTGCTCCCTGCCTGCTGTCTCCGCCTGGCCCGTCTTCTGCCTGCCCGCCCGCCCCGCCGGCCCTGGCCTCCCGCCTGGGCGTTCGTCGTCGTCTGCCTGCTTCTCCCCTCCTCGTCCCCTTCCGCCGGGCAGCACAGCCTGCCCGGAACCAGCGCGGCGGCATAGAATCGCGGATCTCCGCCGCCGAACGAGGCGGCGCCGGCCGCCATTTTAGGGGGGGCACCCCGTCGCCTGTAGAGACGCCATCATTATTCTTATCACTCGCGCTATGCTTATTTATGTGGTCCGCCCGCTTGAGCACTGTGGCTGCAACGCTTCTCGGCCGACCCTGAGACCAAGTCAAAGAGCCAGCCAGGCAGTCAAAGGCAGAGGCCATGGCCCTATAGCTTCAGCCAGATGCACTCGTTGTCAAGCGCACCACTCTGTCGATTTCAGTGGAACTCTGTTTTAGGGGAGCCGAAATAAACTTGGCTTGGTTACAACGTTCAAACTAGCTGCACACTGGTTGGACGGGACTGGCGTCGGGAAAACCGCTCGGGCACTGAAGACATGTGACAGCACGGTATCTGCAATGTGGAGCAAGCTGAGACTCCCAGCGGCGTGGCAGCAGCAGAACTTACCCAGGATTGCCGATTCAGAGTGCATTGTGGATATCACATGGGGTCCGCATCGGAGACAGGTTCGGTACGGCGTGCCAGCGCGTCCTCTCAAGTTCGAGAGCTACATCTTTCAAGTAGCAGTGGCATTCAGGGTCTTCCAAGGCGTCCGGCGATTCCTACCTGGAACTCTTCGCGTGCAACGTGTCGTCAGCAAAGATGCCACGTACAACAAACAAGTATTGTTGACAATGTTGGACCCTTCCTGCTCAATAGTTTCGGACCAGGGCTCCGAATGGGCACGCACGCCTCCCGCATTTCTTTGCCCGAGCCTCAACAGTCAACCATTCAATAGTATGGGTTTCGGCCGACGGTACAACAACAAATTTGGGCGAATCCTTCAATGGATTATTGAAGAAAATGGGTAGCCAGCTGAGTATGTGGAAAGGCCGGGTTGCTGACTCAGAACTTGAAGTCCGATGGCAGGAATTGGCTTGGAGAATCAATTTCAGAACTAAACACAAGCGTTATCCCTGCTGGCGCGAAATTGGTCAAATATGTGGCAGTTTTGGCAGAATACCAAGCGAGCACCCCGGGGAGACTACCAGCAGTGGTTCCTGAAGCGCGACGAGCGCTGGAAATGTTTCGAATACCTCCCCCGACGGGGGAACACAGAGTGAGGCGATTTCCAGCGAAAAGGTCCGCTGCTTAAGGCGTGCTGGCGCAGACGACGGGAGTGGTTACGGGGGGATGCCGATACTTTGGAAATGGAGAGGCTCTCGAGGCAAGAACGTTTCTACTGCCGCAGCTGGTGTGAGTGCTGGATTGGCATCAGCCACACCTCCACAGGCCCTGAAAGCAATAGAGTCTTGCATCTCCAGCCTCAAAAGTATATCGTCGTCAGCTCCAGACTGCGGAGAGGCGCCCCGACGACGCACAGAAAGATGACTCCGACGCGAGCGAAGACCAGGAGAGCTCAGGCGCCACCATCGTCGACTCAGATGGCGCGCCGCTGGTCCACAAGGCGAGCTTTCCACGAAGCACGCGAAAGAGGCCCGCGGCAGACGTGCCATAAAAAGATACAGATGTAGAGATCAGCATTGAGGAGCTCGACGAGGCTCTGGCTCCCTACGGCAAGCGCTGCGATCCGTCTACACCGAAGGGCGGGCATTGCCTGTTCCACGCCCTCCGAAAACTTGGGATGACAGACGACAGCATCTCACGCATGAGTGCTCGTGCGATGGAAGAGGCAGACCCAGCAGCCCTAGCAGCGGCAGCTGCCAATCTTGGTCGTACTGCGCAGCAGCACAAGGCTAAGCAGCTGCGGGACGACTACGCAGACGACCTTGTGTTGGGCACTTTGGCGAGGATCTACGAAAAAACAGTGGTGGTGGTGAATACCGACAGCATTCGCACGTTTACCAGCATTGGTGTGGACCTCGACGGCGCAGTGCCCGACACACCCTTTTGGCTCGCCTACAACAGAGTGAATCATTACTATGGGACGCTCCCACAGACGCCCCCCAAGGAAGTGCCAGCAGGTGCGTCCAGTGCTTCACAATCTCTTGGATTGACAGGTTTTTTAGCTCAAAGGATCCAAAAACATTGAAGGAATCTGTGATTGAGCTAGAATGATCTATAGTTTCACATCCGTTTCACACAGAATGCCTTTGGAATGATTTCGCGCAACTGGCGTGAGAACAAAGATCATCACATCACATCTTCGATCAACTGCGCCAGACGTTTGCATGCTCCGATTGCCGATTGAGGCGTTGCCGTGCCCAGATTGCCGATTGAGACGTTTCCATGCTCAGATTTCCGATTCGCGCGTTTCCACTTAGATTGCCGATTCGGGCGTTTCGGTGCTCAGATGCCCAATTCGAGCGTTGCAGTGCTCAGATTGCGGGTTCGTGCGTTTCAGGGCTCAGATTGCACATGCGAGCGTTTCGGTGTTCAGCTTGCCAATTCAGGCGTTTCCGTGCTCGGATTGCCGATTCGGGTGTTTGCTCAGATTGCGGATTCGAGCGTTTCAGCGCTCAGATTGCAGATTCGGGCCGTTCCGTACTCAGATTGTCTATTCGGGGGTGTCGTTTCTCAGATTGCCGTTCTGGGCGTTGTTGCGCTCAGATTGCCGGTTCGTGCCTTTCAGGGCTAAGATTGCTGATTCCGGCATTGCGGTGCTGAGGTTGCGGATTGAAGCGTTTCTTTATTCAGATTGCCCTTTCGGGCGTTGCACGGCGTAGATTGCCATTTGGGCGGCTTGGATTGCAAACCTGGGCGCCCCTGGGGAAGCATGTAACGCTCAGATTGCAATTCTGAGTGCGCTCGCTCGGAGAGCGCAAGAACGAGTTCAGATTGGAATTCTGGGCGCGCCTGCCTGAGTAGCGCGGAATCGAGTCTGATTGCAATTCTGGGCATGCCCGCTCGGGAAACGAAAACTAATTCAGATTGCAATTCCGAGCGCGCCCCCTTGGGAGAGCGCGAAATCGAGTTCAGATCGAATTCTGTGCGCGCCTGCTTGGAAAAGCGCGGAATCGAGCTGAAATCGCAATTCTGGGCGCGCCTGCCAAAGAGAGAGCGCAGAATCGAGCTCAGATTGCAATTCTGGGCGCGATCGCTTCGGAGACGGCGAAAACGAGTTCAGATTGGAATTGTGGGCGCGCTTGCCTGAGAGAGCGCGGAACCGAGCTCAGATTGCAATTCTGGGCGCGCCCGCTTGGAAAGTATGAAAACCAGTTCAGATTGGAATTCTGGGCGCGCTTCCCTGGGAAAGCGCGAAATCGAGCTCAGATTGCAATTCTGGGTGCGCATGCCTGAGAGAGCGCGGAACCGAGCTCAGATTGCAATTTCGGGCGCGCCCGCTTGGAAAGCACGAGAACAAGTTCAGATTGCAATTCTGGGCGCGCCTGCCTGGGAGAGCGCGAAATCGAGCTCAGATTGCAATTCTGGGCGCGCCTGCCTGAGAGAGCGCTGAACCGAGCTCAGACCGCAATTCTGGCCCCGCCCGCTTGGAAAGCACGAGAACAAGTTCAGATTGCAATTCTGGGCGCGCCTGCGTGGGAGAGCGCGGAACCGAGCTCAGATTGCAATTCTGGGCGCGCCCGCTTGGAAAGCACGAGAACAAGTTCAGATTGCAATTCTGGGCGCGCCTGCCTGGGACAGCGCGAATTCCAGCTCAGATTGCAATTCTGGGCGCGCCTGCCTGAGAGAGCGCGGAACCGAGCTCAGACCGCAATTCTGGGCGCGCCCGCTTGGAAAGCACAAAAACAAGTTCAGATTCCAATTCTGGGCGCGCCTGCCTGGGAGAGCGCGAATTCAAGCTCAGATTGCAATTCTGGGCGCGGCTGCTCGGAAAGCACGAAATCATATTCAGGCTGCAATTCTGAGCGCGCTTGCTCGGGATAGCGCGAAAGCAGGTGCCGATTGGTATTACGGGCGCGCCTGTGCGGTTTGTTCCCTACACACTGCGGAGGTGTCCACCAGAGTATTTTAGACGGGGCCAAAAAGCTTTAAAGGGTGTGCTTCTCTGTGGGAGAGGTGGCCAGGTCTAAACGACCACCTTCTTCTGTAAACTGGATCCGTCCTATTTTTCTTCTCGCACCCAATCCAAAACCAAATGAACTTCAGGCAGGCCTTCGCCTCTACGCCTAACACGGTCATTTGTGTCGCCTCAGCAACTGCTTTGGATTCATCTAGCAACCAGCCAAGCAAGTCCACGATCACTGTGCGCGCAAGCCCCGCCGACCCTCGTGGACCTACCAAAGATCCGGGATCCGCGGTGCTCGCGCATGCGTCTGCGCCAAACAAATCGTCGACGAAACGGGGATAAGCAAGCAGACACGGGCCAAAATTGCTTGCACCGCGCTACCGAATCGATGCCACGCAAAGACAGCGCCAAAAGGACAAGAGAGCAACTGTAATCCCTTGGCTTGCTGCGCAGCACTATTCCGCGTGGCAATTGAAAACCGGACATGGTTCTGCACAGGAATCGTCTTGAACGCACTCTTAAAATCATCCCTGCGGAAGAGCAGAGGCGAACCTTTCCCTGCAGTGTCAACACAAGCCCGGGCCACACCAACAAGTGCATCGAGCGTGTCGCGACGCATTCCGGGAGCCTCGGCCGCGCTGCGCCTGGCCAGTGGTCGTCTGGCCGGTGGTCTCCTTCATCTTCTGAGATACTTTATCTTTGGCCTTCCATGTCCTCGTCGAGTGCGAAAGCCGGTCTTCGCTCCGCTCGAGCGAGCGCGCCATCGCCTTACGCTGCAAGATGTCGCACTGAAAAGCCATGTTCCTTCGCCCCTGAATCGCGCAGCGATTTGGGGGGCAGTGAAATTTGAGGAGCACACGGACCCCATGCCTCTTGCATCATGGCCTCTGTTCCTTTTTGCAGCAAGCTCTTTTCCTACGCTTCGCTGTGGGGGGGCGTCGGCCGGTTGGTCGGTCTGTCTGTCTGTCCTGTCGTGTGTCTGTCCGTCTGTCTGCCCGTCCGTCCGTCTGTTTGTCTGTCTGTCCGCCTGTTTGTCTGTCTGTCCGCTCGGCGCTCGCGGCTGCGAGGCCCGTTTGACGGCTCTCCTTCGGGGCGGTCAGCAGGAGACGTTCGGGGCTCTGAGAGAGGGGCGACCTGGGGCAGGTGTGCTCGGTCCAGTGGTCGCTCTGAGTATTCTTGTTGGCGGCGTGCGTCTGCGTCGCCTGGGTGTGGTTTTTGATGCCCCTGCGTGCTCAGGTTGCGGATTTGGGCGCGCAGGCGCTGGCAAGCGTGAAATTGGGCTCAGAAGGTCATTCCGGGCGCGCTGTCGCCGTGAAGCACGAAGCCGTGCTTAGATTGCAAATCTAGACGCGCGGGCGCCAGCGACCGGAAATCGGTCCCGCAGGGGGGCATGGCAGACGAGAAGCTGCCCGCTCCGTTCCTGCCCTGAAGATTCGTCCAAACAGATCTCGGACACGCAGGGGGCCGGCAGATGAGAAGCTGGGCGTCCGGGCGGCCCGCGAGGCACAGTGCGCATTCCTGGGCGGGCCGCTGGGAGTCCACGAGCGCCCCCGCTGGGAGCTCGTTGCGTGCGCGCCCTGGCGGCTCGGAAGACAAATGCGCATTTCGGGCGGCCCGCTGGGGGCCTACGAGCGGCCCGCTGCGAGCTCGTTGCGTTTGCGTGTGTGTCTGGGCGGCCCGCGAGG